AACAACCCACTATGCTGTTAGAGCAGCCGTGTGCTGTTCACAAGGGATGACAACTAAGACACAACCACGGGATGTGCTTCAAAAAATCATTTTGAGACAAGGTGCCGTATCACGTGTGATAGTGATGCATTCCTCTTTCTGGTTCATCTTTGGACTTTTGAAATTTATCCAAAGCGCCTCAAGAGTTTTGCACCTTGATATTTTAAATTCCTGCCTGAGGATCCGGACATTCGGTTCAAAATCATCAACATTGTGCTTTTGTGCCATATATGTACCCAAAGGAGTACTTCGTCTTATTTTAGTTTTTCTATCTAGTTGTTCTTTTATGCGGAAACAAAACGCTCTACTCGTTTCTCCTATGTATCCCTCACCACATTCCTTACTTGGGATCAAGTATATTCTACCTGAATTCACGTAATCCCCGTCTCTGTCGTTTGGACAGACCGCACAATTATCTAAGCTGCACAAACGATCATAGAAGTGGTTGCGAACCAAGTGACGGCGTAGGGTATTGGGTAGGAGGTCAATAGTCGCTACAGAACTTCAAGACCACGTCTTCTAAGGCACCCCGTCATGGCATAAATTAATTCGTTTGATATGAAGTTGTCTTCAAAGGAATTTAATTCGGGTTAGGACATTATTTTGGGGAACAGCCCTACGCTTTTTTCTAACCCTAGTGGCTTCTGCTTCGTAGCCACTGGAAATGGCTATTTTTCGCAAAAAGTTTAGCGATTCCTTCACTTCCTCTTCTCCTGTGCTCACAATTTTAGCTGTTGGGTACATGTTTTTGATTAGAGCTTTTTTCAGGACCAGAGGAAAGGCAGTATATTTTAAGGTACTAGTATATTTTTACTACTTGGTTTTTGTTACCGTTTTGTTATATAACCACTTTCTGAGAGCTTTATTTGCATATTTAAGAATGGAAGCCTGTTCTCGGTTGGTTTTTCTCGCATAAATTTTATATAGTCCAACTGTCTATTTAACAATCTGAAGCGCTCAACTATTTGTTTTCGGGTGGAACAATCGACAAAGTGGTCGTCTATGTATCGACATTAGAATAAGGGTTTGTGATCGAGAGCTGGCCTGCATTCTTAAGCATCCAAATAAAGTTTTTAGAAAGCGGTTGCGTAACAAAATTGTATCGAAAACTAAGCAGTGAAAAAATACTAGTGCTCTGCCCTTCCTTTCATTCTTCACACATCAAAAAAGCTCTCACCAAAAACATGTACCGAACGGCTAAAAATGTGTGCACAGGAGAAAAGGAAAGGAAGAAATCGGCAAATGTGACACGAAAAATAACTGTTTCCAATGGCTACGATGGAGAAGACACTGGGGTCGAACCAAAAGGTAGAGTTATTCCCCAAAATAATATATGTATAAATAGATAAATAGTATAAAATAATATGTTCCAAACCTAAATAAAATTCCTTTGAAGCTACCCTTCATATCAAACGGATTAAGTTGTGCCATTAAGATGCCTTAGAAGAAGTGGTCTTGAAGTTAAGTGGAGGTGTTATTGACCTCCCACCCAATACCCTGGGCCGTCAGCTGGTTCGCAACTGCTTCTGTGATCTTTAATGCAGCTTAGATAATTATGCGGTCTGTCCAAACGGGAGAGACGGGATTGCCTGAGCTCAGGTACAATGCACATGATCTCATGTAAGGCATGTGGTGAGGAATACATAGGAGAAACGAGTAGAGCATTTTGTGTCCGCTTAAAAGAACATCTATATGGAAAAGCTAAAATACGACAAACTGCTCCTCTGAGTAAACATAGGGCATAAAAACACAACGGTGATGATTTTGCAGTGGTTGTCCGGATCCTAGTGCAGGATCTAAAATATTAACGCGCAAAACTGTTGAGATATTTTGGATAAATTTCAGAAGTCCAAAGATGAACCATGTGGGCGAATGCCTCACTGTGGCGAGTGATATAGCATCTTATCTTATAATGGTTTTTTGATTCAGATCCACATGGTTGGGTCTTATGTATTATCCTTCGTGAACAACACAATAGTTATCCAACAGCGCGGAATTTAATTCTTGAAAATTTACGCCTGTTCATACGCTGGATCTTCATTAATTCTATAGAATTCATGAATTGTGGGGCTGCTGTTGCACATGGTATATCCAGGATCTGAGGAAGGCGAAGTCGCCGAAACGTCAACCGTTCAACAACAACAACTATAGGAAGATCTTTACCAAACTCGTATCAGGTAAATAAAGGCATTTCGTAAGAAGGTACATATGTATTCAGATTATTCTCCACTTTTATGATGAAGCTGGTTTTGCAATAACTTTCGTTGATTTTTCGAGCATTAGATTAGTTGGGTAGTTATGATCTTATCATTCTTGTAGAAAAGTCTTTAATATCTCACTCCAACTTCGTAAATTTCACTGTTACGTACCAATTTAATTTTAAATTCTTTTAAGATTCAAACTTGCAAGGAACTTGTCCACACTTTTTGTTTTTAATTTTTTTGTTTAATTCTAAGGCGGTAGTGGCGAACGTCAATGATAGATACATTGGGGATTTCTGTCGGGTCTGACGATATCTTTTTTTCAATTGCTTTGTTGCTCGAAATCGAACCTGGACGTGAAACAAATGTGAATTGAATACTTTTTATGGGTTTCAGTTCATTCAAACCTTATCATGGTAGAATAAGGAAAGTCTTCGTTGTGTTGTCATAAATCTACAGATTCTAATTGTTTTCATAACCTGTAATGTGTTTGTTCATTGTTGAAAGGCACATTTATTTTCGAGTAGCTGAAATTCTTTGCATTGAAATCAATGTATATCGTCTCGAATTGTTAAGAAGATATGAAGAAATGGAGTAATAGAAAAAATCTAGTGCCTTGTAATCTTAGCCATAGATCATTCTGTGATGTTGGGCAGCTTGACGAATGTTAGAGAAGCTTCTAACTTTTATTTACCGCCTATGCACTTTTTCATGGTTAAGCATTATGCGAAATACAAACACAAGGATTTTGAGATATCAGCAAAACTCGAAGCATTGGTTGGCCTTCGAATTCAAAGCTATCCTCACCGATGGCTCACGTATTACCTACTGTACCACTCAGTCCCTTACTTTGCCTTTATATTTGCCAGTTTTTTTACGCTAACGTGCAATCAGCAATCACTCGTCGACGGGAATGATCTTTGAAGAGCCAGTCGTCATTGTACTTACTGAAGCTGAAGTTGCACTCTAAATCACAATGTTTTGATCTTTGTTTGCTGCCTTCTACATAGTTAATATTAGCTAAACATATCTCGTCCCTCTACTCCTTAAAACGGGTCTAATATTTTTGAACAAAGCTCCTGACGTTAATTCCATTGAAGGAGAGATGTAGATACAACGAACCACCTATGATTTGAACAAGAAAAAGACCACGAGGCTCTAAGATGTTATTCACTTCTGAAGCTTATCTCTTTTAATGAGCATTATTCTAGAAGACTTACAGCAGACTTCAAAATTACAAATTCTTTGAATCTTGGAAACTCTATCTTTAGTAACTACTGTTCATAATTGTTGTGATATGACTACTTGCCAGCTAAAACTGCGTAGGTAACACCACTTTCGGTGGTTCAATGAATATACTCGAATATCCACAATATTATTTTTTGCTGCGAATTACTGTAAGTCGTCCAAAACATCATTAAAAATGAATCCTTTGATGTCGCCGAAACATAGTAGTCTCGATTGTGGTAGTGTTTACGTGTAAACTGTAGCTTATGAATAAGCCCAAATATTAATTATACATGCCGAGTTTAATTGAATTAAAAGCGACTCTCCAGAATTCTCCATCCGTAGTTTCTGCGGTGCGTCAAAGTCCGTTGATAAATGGGCGACGATCATTCTCCGATCACAACGGAACTTCTTCCAATCCTATGGTGACCTCAAATAGGTAAGATCGTCATTCACGTTTGTTACTCAGCTAGGAAACAACCAGAAATTTGAACGATACCAAAAGATTATAGAACAAGTCATCGCTAGAAACTGATAGGTTTCTAACACTGTTAAGACAAAGTTCGAGCTATAGAACTATTCTCGCGGAGCCTGTGCATGCATGGATACCATCAATACGAAATTCCACCAAACCTTGCTACCAAAAAGTAGTTGCTAACGTGATTCGCAAATATTTTCATGTAGTTCCTACGTATTTCTAGTAAAACATACAACATAAGAATGACAGCAACAGAGTTTTAAAAGAAGAAAACGGATAACAAGACATGTTTCTAATGATTCGGGTAATGGCCATACATTTATTGCCAGGTAATAGGACTTTTGGATAAAAGTTCCTCACTATTTCTTCTTCTGTTTACCAATATCTTCTTTTAATTATTAAATATCGATTGGTTTAAGACACAGTGGTATGTTATAAGCTATTTTTGCTTTCTAGAGATCAGTCATCTTTTCAACGGTCAGGCATCAAACTCACCTCTTTCAATGCAAATGAGAAAGGCGGCGTATATGGTTCAATCTCTTCCCAGTGGGCCACACAGAAAGCACCACCAGGACAGCCTAGTCAACTGCTGTGGAATGCAAACAAGGTGGTTATCAGCTGTATCTTAAACGTTTTACTCTTGATTTTGAGTGCGAAACACGTTACTTTACTTTCTCTGTGTTGATATTTTGCCTGAGCTTTGATTCTTAGCTTCGTACTCACATCATCAAGCTCTAATCCGCCCTTGTATAGGTTTTCGCCAATGCTTAATAGCAATCAGTGCTCGCTAGGAATTCTGACCTATTTCTACAATCGGGAAAGTGTTCGCAAAATGCATGCCACCTCGCTTCTTCGAAATATCCCACTATGAATTTAATTCTGCGAAGTGCTAAGTGACAGTACCTTTTAATCCTCTTATGTCCACCTTTCAACATCCGAGAGAAAAAAAACAGGTAATGACAAAAGTGAAGTAAGGTCAGGTTAAGTAAAAGTTCACTTTATTACAACCTTTTGATTTATCTGTATGTGACAATTTCAATTTGTAGGAATTAAAAATGGTGGTGAAGATTAGAGAATTGAACGAAAACAACACTTTCCAGCCGAACATATCGGCATCGTCGTCACAACAAGAGCAGTGCTTCACGCCAACATCTACACTCACCAGTCAAGGATCGGCTAGTAACTACGATAGCCAAACTCCAACTGCAGGATCACCTCAAACCAACCCACCACTCTATGCTCGAACAAATTCTGATGGTAGTGGTGTATATGGAACATTGGGCGATGATTCTGCCTTCAACAATCGTACGCTTCAAAAGCCATTAAGAGTGATTTCCACTGGATCAACCACCTTGCGTCATACTGTGAAAGCAGGCGGCCCGCGAAATGAGGATTGTGCCAATTTCGGTGTTGCTTCATCAAATGGTAGTTCTGAAGTTAACAAGAATAGCAATGATTTTGCAACCAGTATTGTATGAAAACTAATTTTTATACTACTTAGCTTTTTCTTTTGAGTATTTTTTACATTCACTGTGAATTCCTCATCTGTCGTCAAATTGTGAGTATTGTAGTAAGTTTAGTTTTCATATTGTAAACTGTAATTCTACAAAAGTGGAAAAGATAATCTAAGATGATTTACCAAATATTCTCACAATAAAACAACCTCATCTTTTCACGCCTAACACGAATTATGGATCTTAGACTCTTCACTAAGAACACTGATTCTTCTTCTAGCGTGGCTTGACCAAGCTCACGGCGGAATGTGCCGTGTTGCGGATCAGTACTTCCGGTTAATAAGTATATAGGCACAATTTAAATCCAAAATTCTTGTTTAGAAAACGAAAACCACCGTCGGGTACAATTTTCCGTTAAGGTTAACGTAAAGTCGCGTGCATGTCATCATGACAATCATTGCTTTGTCAACATAGCCGTCATACTGATGTCTCAACACTTTCCATGTATCCGTTTAATCCTCGTCTGATGATGATGTCATCCCCTAAGTCGGTGCTCTCATAATTGTGTTTATTGTTGACTTCAAATTATTGGTGTGATTGTTGTTGAATTTGAGTCACTTACTAATTAACTCTTTATTCTGAATAAGATGTCCACATGGATTATTCAGGTGTTAAATTTAAAAAACTCTTTGTGAGTTGAATTGACTAAAGAGAACTGTCTCAGCTTTTGTAACAAATGAAAGAATTCATCGGTATGTTTGAAAAAAGCATTTGGAATTAAACTTCACAAGAAAATATCAGTGGGAAAGTTGTTGTAGAGAAATTTCAAAAGCAGCAGCTAGCAGTGATTCAGAGCTGCTTAGAAATGAGCGAATTGGATACAAGTAAAGCGAAATCTTAACGATTTGTGGAGTCAAATAATCTGCTGTGGAATAGAAGTAGAGACATCAATAAAGCACCGAAAATCGTCCTTTAGTCATGAGCTTGTCTTCATCACAAAGTTCACTAGTGGAGTTCAAAAAAAGAGTTGAATACTGGCTCTTCTCCGGTTCCATCCACTGATTCATTTAAAACCTCTAAGCGTGTATATTCTTAATTTATATTGTTGAAAATTTCAGATGCGACCAGCTTTTCTATTGCTTCGTCACCTTTACTCCCATTCATTGAATTTCATTGGCGAAATCCGCTATACAACCTACAAGGACTCCTTTATGTCCATTAGATTCAGCACCAGTACATCGCTGTTCCACGGATTCCCTCATATGAGGGATCTCGAGTCGGTTAGTCGCGAGGCTACGTGGCGCATCCCCGAATGGCGGATAGGGGATTAATCGTGGACCAAAAGCGACCTTTGCTTCCTTGAGACGCAGGTGGATCCAGATGATGGACTCCGTTTCTGCCGCGCCGATTGGCACATACTTTCTGTATTTGCTAGGCACGTTCATGCATGCGTGTGTGGATGCGTTCTTGCTTATGCGGATTGTATTCTACGAATCAATTCGGCCAAAAGCCTGCAATCAAGTGAATGGGAAGTATATGAGAAGCAGTTAGGAGTCGCCTCCAACAAATAAGCTCCACGTCTACTCTGGGAGAGTCTGGCAAGCTACCCGTGAGTAAACTCAGCCTCCACGTTCAGAGCCCAACAAGTTATGCGTGAGTATCAAAAATGCTAAGCACAGTTTAAAAAACGGGCGTCATTCCCCTGACCCCTAAAGAGCCCCCAATTTCGCAGCGTTGGGCAGGACAAGCGCGGAGAGGCAGAGCTAAAATCTCAGGGCCAATGGAAGCTGACTGGATTTCAAAGAACTATGGTGACGATCTGTACCTACAATGCACGTACACTTGCATCCGAGCCCTCGATAGAAGACTTGCTCATGCAAGCGGGAAGGATAAGGTACGACGTCATGGGCCTGTCCGAGACGAGAAGACGCCAGCCTTTCAACGCCGTCTATGACACCGGAGAAGAACTGTTCCTCGGAACATGCGACAGCAGAGGAGTCGGAGCCGTCGGCGTTCTCGTCAACACGAGTTTGTCTGTGAACATCGACTCATTCGAACAACATACAACCCGAATTGGACGTTTACGATTAAGAAGCTGTGGATCAATTACGGCTTTGACCACCTTCGTCGCTTACGCGCCGTCATTAAACTATGACGAAGAAGAAGTCGAAGCGTTCTATATGGATTTGGAGAAGTTCTACAGAGAAGACCACACATTCTTCAAGGTTATCATTGGAGATTTCAGCGCCAAGATTGGACCAAGAAGAACGTCACATTGGGACCCACGAATTAGAATGGAACGAACAGGGTGAGCGGTTATCTGAGTTTATCATGGCGACCAAGACAATCCATGGTAACTCGCAATTCCAGAAGCCCCACCCTCAGCGCCGGACGTGGGAGTCTCCCAATGGAGAGTACCATAACGAAATAGACCACATCATAGTAAATAGAAGGTTTTGCCTAACCGATGTCGCTGTTGTCCCAAAATTCTACGAGGGATCAGAACACCGTCTCCTTCGTGCAAGATTCTATTTCTCGCGGAAGCGAGAGAAAGGCGCTAAATTGCAGAACCGAATTCCCAGAACCGCCGTAAACTGGGATTTATTCAATTCATTAGTCAGCTGTTGGGAAGATGCCGTTGTCGATAACATTGACAATGAATAGGATCGGCTCATTTAACATCTTCACGTTAGCGCTATAAAAGCTAAGAGTTCGAAAGTCACTAAGAGACACGAAAGACCGGCTTTCTATAAACCTCAGCATAGACAGTTTATATATTTATTTACGTGATCTTATAAACGGATATTCTTAAGCTGACGCGAGGTTGGTACAGAATCTTCGTTAGTCCCGCACGTAATATCACGGTTCTGGGGAAGGCGAAGTCGCCGAAACGTCAGCCATCGATCAATGACATCAAAAAATAACGACAACGACAACGAAGATCTGTACCAACCTCGCGTCAGCTTAAGAACATCAGTTTATAATATCACATATATAAATATATCACTAAGAGACATTTGCCTCCAGTAACTCTCGAGCTGAGACGCCAGCGTGGAATCGCGCGAGGTTCAGGCAACGGCGAACTAACGTCCGAACTTACAAAACAATACAGAGAGGAGATAAAAGGAGATCTTAGAGAGAGAAGAGCAGCAGTAATGGCCGAAGCTGCAGTGGCAGGGAAAAGCATTCGCAAAGCCCACCGAAGGTTAGCCAATTACAGGACCAAAATGGTTGCACCCCGGCGGCCAAACAGAACAGTTACAGCGTCCAAAAAGGCAGCGGAGAAAACCATTCACGAATACTACTCGGATCTCTTCGATAGCCATGTACACATTACGTTATATGAAATCGAAATCCGACATGCCATTTGGTCGGTGAAAAATCCGACATCACCAGGTCTGGACAGGATAAGACCAGAACACCTGAAGAACCTTCCGCTAGTCCTCGTTAACACACTGGCTCGGCTCTTCACACGTTACTTGTCCGAATGCAAGGTTCCTACTCAGTGGAAGACCAGCATGGCCGTATTATTGTTCAAGAAGGGTGACCTGCACGATATCGGCAACTATCCTTCAACCTGCTTACTGTTTATCGTCTACAAACTTTTCACTCGAGTCATCCTAAACAGGATTGACAGAACACTAGACGGAAAACAGCCATGTGAGTAAGCAGGGTTTCGAAGAGGATTTAGTACGATGCACCACATCCACACGGTAACATGTCTCATTGAAGTATCGCGAGAGTACAAAAGACCGTTCTGTCGCACTTTCATCGATTTGCAGATGGCCTTTGATTCATTTGAGATAGAAGCAGTCTTGGAAGCCTTTGATAGTCAAGGAGTGCCTACTCAGTACATAAAGGTTCTTCGTGAGCTGTACAAAAATTTTACAACCAAGATATCAGCATTCTAAAACGATATTAACATTGACGTTCAAAAGAGGAGTTAGGCATGGCGATACCATCTCTCCAAAATTATTTACCGCCATCCTCCAGAACATCATGCGAACATTGGAATGGTATAATATTGGAGTGAAAATCGATGGTCGGCAGTAATACCACCTTCGCTTTGCTGATGACATCGTCCTTATAACACCAAACCTTAACCAAGCAGAACGCATGCTTGAAGACTTTGATAAAGCCTATGAAAAGATTGGTTTTCGACTAAATCTCACAAAAACGATGTTTATGAAGAACGGGTCGGTTTCGCATGCCCCATTCACGCCCAACGGAACGAATATCTCCGAATGATCTAGTTATATCTATCTAGGTCGGAAAATCAATATGATGAACGACCGAGCTCCAGAGTCGAGCTGAAGGAAAGGAGCGGCTAATGGAGCTTTCAGGAACAACGAGGATGTAGTGAAGAGAACAAAGAACACCCGACACCGTGCCCACCTTTTCGACCCAACGGTACTTCCTGCCCTAACGTATGCGACAGAAATCTGGTCGCTGCGTAAGCAAGATGAAAGGTCACTCAGCGTTATCGAACGCGCCGTCGAAAGGACGATGATAGGAGAATCCCGTTCCACACGAGTAAGAGACGGGATCCGAAGCTCCGATCTGCGTCAACGATCAAAAATCAAAGATGCCGTTCTGTACTCCAAACAGTCGAAGATAAGGTTGGCTGAACACGGAATGCGTATGAGTGACAACCGATGGACAAGAGCCGTTAGTGACTGGATTCCTCGGGATGTCAAACGTACTGCAGGAAGACCGCGGACCCGATGGTCAGAGTTCTTTACAAAGAGCCTTGAAGAAAGATATGATGCTCGACGAGTCCCTAGTGCGAGCAAAACCCACTGGGCTGCTCTTGCACGCGACAGGGAAAAATGGTGGATTCACTGGCGCCCGCCCGAGTTACTCGACGATCAACAGGACTACAGGTGAAACAGGCTACAGTGAAATTCATCACTTTATGACATGCTGGCTTGGCGGAATTTTTCGGAAAAAGTTTTTTGAGGTCATGGCGCTACCGCATTCTTACTCAACCATGCATGCTAGTGATGTATTCGTACCGTGCTAAA